CGATATTTATGCGAGATGACATCGATAAGTTCAGAGATGAGCCTTCCCATGTAGGAACATTGATTGTGAAATACTAAGTTGTTAGTTGAAAGTGCCAAACCTTCCAAGGCCCCATATGGCCCTGGTTGACAGGCCGCGGGGACAGTGGACGGATACGGATGATGCAATCATCACTGAGATAAAAGAACGTTGTCAAAGCAAACACATAATGCTACTTGGTGATTTCTACTGTCCACATATCGAATGGGCTTTGATGCATTTCATGCGATCAGACAACTACTTCGAACAGAAATTTATTCAATTAACCACTGATTAATACCTTGCCCAACACGTTAAAATAGACATTATTCCGAGATGGACAGCATTCAAGTTGTTTGGACATCATCATCACTAGGGATGATAGTTGCATACTCGGATTGGAATCGCACGCGCTCTTTGGCCGAAGTGGCCACTGCGTTCTTGTTTGTGAATATCGTCCTTTTTATGTATCCGAAATTTGAGTCGCTAAGGAAAGAAATGTATGGAAAGGGGTTTATCCCAGAATAAAAATCTGCTACAGAAGGTGAACTGGAATGCTGCACAAGGATATGTCCAAGAAAGCGATTGGCTCTTCTTCAAGAACGTAATGCAGCACTTGGTAGAGAGCTGTCGCCCACTTAAGAGGAAACCGCGCACTTCTCGACGAGCGTGGGTGACGGCAGAAATAAATAAAACCCTTGGACTGAATAGGAGACTTTGGAAATAGTACGCCAGATGTCAACAACCAAAGAACTGTACGGACTTTAAAAACCAGAGAAATATATGCCGAAATATTTGAGGAGGGAACGGGCAGAATTTAAGTCAAAACTTCCAAAAAAATCCCGCAAAATTCCAAAAAATTTTTGGATACGTGAACAAGGCCAAGCGCTACCGGGACTCCATTCCCTGTCTAAAAGATCGCCAAGGAAAAACGTCTGATAATTCAGACAAGACGAACCTGTAATCCGAGTTCTTCACGTCTGTGTATACCGAGCAGCCGGCTTTTGATGAAATAGTTTATCCCCAATTGTCAAAACAATAAATACAATTAGCACGGTGGCCTTCACGACAAACACGGTAAAGAAAATTTTGAGTCAACTACAGTTCACCAGCTCACCTGGTCCGGACAGAGTATTCGCAAAAGACCTGAATGAACTCTCAGACCAACTAGCCCCTCCGTTTTCCAGGACCTTCAAAACTCCGGTGGAGACCGTGGCTCTGCCTACCCAGTGGAAGCAAGCAAATATAAGCCCCATATATACAGGTGGCGAGAGAACATCCCCAAAGGGTTTCAGACCAGTGAGTCTCGCAAAAAATCTGTTGCACATTGATTCATTGGGTAATAAAAACGGAAATGATGCGGCATCTGGAAGAAAACAACTTGCTCAGTTTGCATCAGCATGGATTAAGATGGGGTCGATCCTGTCCTACTAACATGCTAGTATCCATTGTGCGCCGGGTGAAATCAATAAAGATAGGTTTATCAGTCGTCACCTTGTACATTGACTTCAGAAAGGTTTTTGATAGTGTTCCATGCACACGACTTACATGTAAACTACGTCAAGTGGGTTTGAATGGAGATCTGCCGAAATGGCTAGTCTACTTTCTTACGGGCAGATCTCAGCGTGTGCGTGTGTGTGGGGGGGTGTGTAGGGGTGTCAGCGGTGGGTTCACGTGATGGCCGTAGTGGTCGCTCACTCGCTTGCAGGTGAGGCTACGCCTAGCGTCCATTTGCTGGCACCCAACTCTCACCTGTGGCTGCACGTAGCCGGGCTCTGCTCAGCGGCCACAGCCCGGGCAACCGCCTCGACCGGCGGGCTAAACCAGGTGAGAGAACCCTGTGCGCTGTGCCGTGTGCACAGGGTTTGCGGATTCCGGTGGATGGAAGGTCGGATGGAACATTGAGTCGGCACGGTCGTGACGTGCTTCGTCTCTGCACGCCGCTGGACAGCCGGTGACGGGATGGATCTCCACATCGACATCGCCTTGACGCGCCCACCTACGCCGTCGGAGACCGCGGCTTACGGCGAATTCGTGTCGCTCTCCACTACGACAAGAAGTCGTGGCCCCATAGTGGAGTTCGGCCTTGCCACAACGACACATAGCAGCCCTATTCAGGGGTGGCACTGCCTGACCTTACGAAGGGAAGGGCCTAGAAAAAGTGACCTAAACAAACCTGGGCACCACGCCGTCCGCAGGCTAGCCAGGGTCGCAGATGTCTAAACATGTTCGAAACAATCAAAATCGAAACATCAACAATACCTATAACAACAACAACAACAACAACAACAACAACAACAACAACAACAACAACAACACTCGCTCACCTCCTTATCCTAACTCTTTTTCCTCTTCCTCTGCCTATTCTTCTTCGTCACCTTCTTCTCCATCTCCTTCCCGTCGCCCCACTCGTGGCCAGACTGGCAGGGTGAGCCCGCTCACTCTGGCAGCCTGGAATGTTCGTTCCCTTTTAGACAATCCGAGGAGCAACCGACCGGAACGGAGGACGGCGCTAGTGGCACGAGAACTGGCGCGCTACAAGGTGGACATCGCCGCACTCAGCGAGACCCGTTTCTCCGAACAAGGCGAACTGGAGGAGGTGGGTGCCGGCGACACCTTGTTCTGGAGCGGTCACCCCAGGCCAGAGCGACGAGACGGGGGTGTCGCCTTCGCCATCCGGAACGACATCGTGGGACGACTGCCCTGTTTGCCGCAGGGCATTAACGATCGCCTGATGAGCCTCCGTCTGTCTCTCTAGGGTGTGGGCAAATTCGCCACCATCATCAGCGCCTACGCGTAGTTTTTGCCGATGATCTCAGATTGTGGAAATCAATAGAGAAGCCGGAAAACTCTGTGCAGTTACAAGACAATCTGAGTCGCCTGCAACAATTGTGTGATGGGTGGTGTCTTAACCTCAAACTTAGCAAATGCCAATTTTCCGATAACGATCTAACAACAGGAGATCTTGGAGATTTGAATCTCACTACTCTGTAGGAGGTCATCAACTCGATTCTGTGGGAGAGTTAAGAGACATCCGTGTGTGGATGACGGCAACTCATAAACCATCACCTGACTGCGCCAATGTACCAAAGAAGGCCATGTGTATCCTATGCGTGATTAGAAGATCCTTTCTCAGTTTGACGAAGAACTTTTCGGCAGAGTATTTGGAACATATGTTCGACCAATATTGGAATATTGTGTTCAGGCATTGTGTCCCTGGAAGAAACAAGATTAAACCCATTGGAGAACGCTCAAAGACGAGTAACCATGGCGGTTGGCGGATTAAGTAGCTTACCTTATGAGAAAAGCCTGGAAAACCTAAAACTATTTCCGCCCTCTAATGGACATTACAGAGGGGATATGATTACTGCCTTCAGGATCGCCAGGGGGTTAGACTGTGATCTGCAGTTTGACGGTTTCGTCGAACTGGCGCGAACGGCCAGTCTTCGAGGCCACCAATACATATTGAAAATAAAATATGCCACACCTTACTTGCGGGTTAAATTATTCTCTCACCGGCTGGCTGAAGGATGGAGTGATTTTCAGAAATCCGTTGTCTTGGCGGAGAACGTATAGACCTTCAAAAAATGACTTGATATATTTATGGTTGATGGTAAACCATGTACTCGGTATCAATGGCTGGCATAACTGTTATTTAAATATGTGCATGCTTTTCATCTGTCTATCAGTAAATACGGTTTCCCAAAGGCTCAGCCTATAGCCCTTATACATACTAAACTATACTTAATTTGTAAGAGCACCTGTCCTGGCCCCCTTAGCTATGGTGGGTGGGGATGGAGATAAACAGCTCTATTCCTAAATAGGCCTGCTATATCACCATAGGCAGTTTCCCAATTGCATTACGAATTGCTATTTGTATAGATGAAGGACGAGCCACGTTAGTCAGAGTTATCTACAGGACTGCATGCCACCTCCTTCACGGAACACATTTGTCTGAAGATGCGCAGGGTGTTTCCGCGCATGTACGCAGTGGAAACCCCCACTCTGGTTTAACCCACCTGCCAAGGATGGTCGTCAGGATGTGATCGCCGAGTTTCATGGAGCCACAGACCAGGCTTTAATGCCAGGACAAGGTGAAAAATAAATATCTACCGGGTCAATGGGTAAGTCCGGCTGTGTAAGTCTTATAAGTACAACTTACCACAGCAGTCGTTCGTGCATTACCAGATCAAATATGTGCCACCTATGACATATCAATCCTTATTGTTGTTTCCAGCAACAAAAGTGCGGCGGAATGAATTTATTATCGTAGGTTGCCGTAGCGTTAATCCAAGAGCATAGACGGACCTAAAGTAATTGTGCAAATATAATGCGATCCCCACGCGCGGCAGCCAGTACTCCTTACCCCAAGTTAGATGCCTATCATATCAAGAACCCTCAATATATGCAAGAGACTTGCGCAGAATTTTGAAACACATGGTTCTATGTTTTAGCCAGATTTGTAAAGTAGACGAAGAGTGTACTCGAACAATCTGCGCATGTTAAGATCGACGCACAGTTGTCTGATGCACGTTTCATCGGGCTTTTAAACATTTTAGCCTATGCTGGATGAGGTTTGTTAATAATGTTGTCCTGAACCTATTTAATAGAATATGTACTTTTGGAAAACTGTCTTAATGGATTTCAATTGTTATAATTATCCAATACTCCATTTTGGTCAGCGAAAACTGGATATACGAACACCCTCTACTCCTCTGTTTTCTACTAAGACGGACCAATCAACGTTTAAGTCAAAATTGTCGAAGTGATAAATTGCTGGTCGTTAATGTGAAATGGCCCTGAAAATGCGAAAAACATGCCATTACTAGTTTCGTTTTATAAAATGGTGCTCTTCGTCAAGTTTTGTTTTGGATACACGGTGACTTTACCTCAGTTCTTGTTCCTTGTGTGGTAATAAATTTGGACCAATCACGCGTCCACTTCCTCGTGCAGTGTTGTGCGGCTAGGGCTTGGCATCCATCATGAAGCGATCTGGCAGGAGGGAGTCGCCTCCCCGTAAGATTTACCGGCGAGATTTCTCTCCTACGAGTCGAATAGATCATTTTCCGAGCACCGATAGTGATCAAGGCCGACATAGATCACTTAGATCGGAGAATATGGATAGACGCACTCAGCGACCCTACGACTCTGTGTCATACCACCGCACTGTCCGTGAGGATTCGAATTTGACGTCTTCCCGGCGAGAAACGCCCTCAAATGTTTATGCGGGAAATTTTTCAAACAGGAGACCTTCACGTCGGAGTTTGCTTTCGAGGTAACTCGGTGTTTTTTGCATTTGGCCGGCGGTTGAACAATGCGAGTGGCCTCTACGTAGGGGCGTATATGTTGTGCTCTACCGGTCCCATTGGACTTCTTCTGTGTGAATTTGACCGCCACATTTCAGTTCAGTCGGCCGTCTAATTATGGAGCACAGTTACCGCGCGCTTCTAACAACAGGATTGTTTCTGCGCCTATTGCCCACCGCTGCGATTGTTCGGACTTGTGATATGTGGAATTGCAATGTTGCTCTAAATTGAAAACGGTTTCAACCGTTTTAGCTAAGGGCCTTCGGGGCTGTCGCATCCCGTGCTTCATGGTAAAGCCCCTTGCCGCTTCCACTGTTCCCAACTTGAGTCGACACGGAGTTTGATTTCTTTTTGGGGGCTTGAAACAACTCGGAATTTTGGATGATTTTCCTACAACACAAATCCTCCTTCGTCTGACTTTCGGGCCTCTTGAAGCTCGAGCTTACTGGCAGTCACGCCCATCGTCAATCGCACCTTGTCTTCAACACCTGGATGCCTCCGACCGCTTGTTTTTTTTTGGCGCTCTGAAATAAATCCTCTAGTATTCTCCAATCACCAGTCGTCGACGCCCATAGGAGGTGTTCGTGGGATACAGAGTCAAAACCTTGTGCGCTCATACTTGGGTGCTAAATTCGTCTTCTCTCATCGGACCCCGTCAAACGCTTATGCTGTCTTGTGCATTTTTGAAAGAAGTGGGACTTTACGTTGTCCTAGTCTGCAGTTTGGATAATTTCGATGTCCTGACCTTGAAGTGGTCTAATATCTGTGCCTGTCCGTGTGAAGCTTACAATTGTTTTCTCACGTGACCTGCAGCTCAGGTGGCGGTCAACCAGTCGGAATAACGTTAACGCACCTTATTAGGCATGCCTCGGTGCGGATCGCCTTGAGTCCTTTTCGTATCACTCGCCAGAGGACTTCAAGATATTCAGTCTCCATAATATGTTCTTGCTCCTAGCTAGGGTAGCGCAGATAAAACCATCGACAGGAGTTCCTTTTATACGTTGTTCCCCTTTCTATCGAGTGCTTCGGAAAGGTTTCTCCACAGACCGTCTCCTCCGTGACTGTAGATACGACAGGGCCCTTGTTCGATGTTTTTGCGGTTTGTTGCGAGAAAGAGGCGGCCTTTAAGTAGTGCAATATGTGCAGTTTTCATGCAATGTATACGTTTAAAGTAAGTCAGGACTAATTATGTGTATTTGCTTCTTAAGCTTATCTTCCGGAATTCTTGTTTTGGTTTTTTTGGCAACATGTTGACAGTTCTCTTTCTTCCTCCTTTCAGCGCCCCCAGGGCCAGTAAGCCTGGTCGTAACGCCGAACGTTATGTGCCCAACACCTCCGAACGTCTTTTGCAGAATTTTTCGGAACGTCCGACAAAGATCGATCCCGTTTTCGCCGCCGCCGCTGCTGCAGCAGCCCTCAATGCCGGCCTTGTTCCCGGCTCTTCTGACTTTGCGAGTCTGGCTAACAATGTTTCCCGGAGCTTCTGTTCATCCGGCGCTTCTTCTTCGGCCGCTGTTGCAGCAGTAGCAGCAGCCGCAATGAACGCAGCTGCGCTCGCGGCAGCATTTGGAGGTGCTGCCCCTGCTCAAGGGTCATTTGAACGTCAGCAACCGCGATATGATCCATCTGAACAGTATTCCAGTTATAGACAATCGTCAAGACGTCGATCGCCCTCTGATCGACACTCTTTCAATTACAGGAAGGAATTAGCAACTGATGGATTGTTGTCGCGCCGCCCCAATGACCGCGGCCGTAGAGATGCTGATAGAATTCTTTCCACTCGTTTTCCGCATCACCTGGACCACAAAGAGCCTGAAGACGATCCAACCGCCACTCGTACCCTTTTTGTGGGAAATTTGCCTCCGGATATTCGTGAAGCAGAACTGCGTGAGATGTTCGAGCGCTTTGGTATACTCGAAGATGTGGATATTAAGCGTCCCCTCCCTAATTCAAACTCCAACGCATATGCCTTTTTAAAGTATGTGAATCTTAACATGGCTCATCGTGCCAAACTAAATATGTCTGGCAAAACAATCGGCCAGTTTACGTGCAAAATAGGATATGGAAAGGTCACACCGACTCGATGTTTGTGGATAGGCGGTCTTGGTCCGTGGATCAAGTATCCCTCCTTCGCTGCAATAGTAGAAAGAATAGCGACTCCTGAAAAGATAATTTGGCCGTCTGGGAAAACTTATGCGCATATTATGTTTTCCTCAGTTGACACTGCAGAAATGGTAGCTTCAACGCTCAGAGGCTATCCCCTTGGCGGAAACAGTCGCAAGTTACGCGTAGATTTTACGGATGAATCACACATGCTGCACGACCCTTTGATGTCAAAAAGAAGAACAAAGGTCTTTCCATCTGCCCGACCCGTCCGAGAGGCTGCTCATGTTAATTCCATAATGAGACATCGGGAACATCGTCAAAGGAATCAGATATTTTCTGACGTCTCCCAGGCCGTGGCTTCTGGAAATAGAAGGAGACAGCAGTCTTTCTCGCGGTCTCCGCCTGACCGTTCCCCATCTGCTAAAAACTCTTCTGTCGATGGGCGTAGCGACAAGTCGTCTTCACAAGAGCGCCTGAGGTCGCCACCTTCTGAATGTGGATCACACTATAGAGGACTCACCCCGTACCGTCCAAAGTCGGCTGGTGGCGACGACTCACATACACCAACCTTGTCCACTAAAAGTTCTGCCAAGCAGACGACTATCGAAACCGCCAAGTATATACATGATCTAGCAGCTTGTCTTCCCACTTCATGGAACGCTGTTTTCGTCCTGAAAAAAAGCAGTTTCTCATGTCGCATGCACATTTTACGAGGACACGAGGGTCTTGTTGACCAGTTTATCCCTCGGTGGCCGGTTAAGGTGAAACACGATCGTGTATCACTAACAAAGTCCACCGGTAGGGGGGCTCCAAAAACACCTCCCGAGGAAGGCAGTGAACAAAGTGATCATGACAAGTACGAGCCTTCAAAACCGGGTGACAGGGTCGATGATTTGCACGTCAGTGAAGAGTTTGACGGAAGTCAGAATTTCCTACGCATAAGCCAGCGCATGAAAATGGACCCGTCCAAGCTTGACGATGTGAATCAACGCATGAAAATTGTTGGTGATCAAGGCTACTGCGTTCTTCTTGCCATGCCACTGGAGGATGAGGGTTCTTATCCTGAATCAGGTCATATGCGTTCCGCGCGGCCCCTCCGCGATTTAATTAACTACCTTTCCACCAAGGACGCTGCTGGTGTCGTTTTGTTAAATCCACTTTCCTCGACGGATTCAAATACACACACCAAAACGACTTCTGAGGAGACTTCGGTAACTGGTGTGCTGCATGTCTTGCCGCCTTGTGATTTTGCCTACAATCTACTTTCTGAACGCGCTGTAAGCCTACAGAAACCTTCACCAAGTGAAAAGTTTCTTGTAATTCTCCTAATTCGTAGTTGTGGTTTCTTGTAAAGTATATTTTCTGTTTCGTAAATACTACTTCAGAGTTAACGCTGAACTGTTGTTCTTTTATCCGTTTGTCACGTTAGCACACTTCCCTGCACCCCTTTCATGCTTGGCCTATCTTAGTCAGGGGGGATGTATTTTGAAGGTTTAGCCTTCCACCTTCGCACCTTGTCTGAATGGATTTCTCTGCGAGTTAGTTCCGACCCGTTCGCATCGGCATGCCCTACTCTCCCCCCGTAATTTTTTCCTTCTGGATTCTAAGCGCCTGTAGGGCCCTGTCATGTTGCTGCAGGGCAGGTTGACTGTCGGAATTAAAACGGGCTTTCAACCGGCTCGGTTGAAGAGGATTTGTGTTTACCCCTTCCCATCGTAATGTCAGTGTCTTATTTTTGCTGTTCATTGCAAGACAAGTCTGTATTTACAATGCCTTTATAGATGTATATCCCACGTGATCTGGAGTGCCCATAAAGTCTCCAATGAATAAAGTCTGTTGTCTAGCCTACTGTGCATATGGCTTTGGGAGTCCTTCATTGTTTATGGTGGCCCGTAACGTAGCGTTCAGTGATTTGTCGGTTTTGGAAGTCACACAAGTTTCCCGTTTGCTGTTTAGCGTTGCTTGCAAGCCGCACTTTTTCGCATCTGATCACACAGAAGAAGTTTGAGATATTTCTGAGTTCCCTTAGCCATCAAAGTACTACGAGTAATGTCCATCACAGTCTCTGTTGCTGACTGTCTACCTTGTAATTGATTAAGGATGGAGAATTCAAATATTGCGTTTAGGACTACAGGACTAATCGACGTCGTGGTTTTCAATTGGCCTTGAAGGCCACAAACCTCGACTCTCCAAAGCACTGGGCGGCGGGTTTTGGACCACTGAGTCTGTACTGGCTTCTGCGGTCATTCGCTCTTGAGGATTTATGTTCCACCCTTAGTTTTCGGAGTTATTTCGTCTGACAGACTCGGGCGTGGGCTCTGGATGCTCTAATAACAGTTTTAGCTCCAGAAATGTTTGCGCGTGCCACATGCACGATCTGGCCCCCAAACGTGCACCAGGATTTCACACAAAGGGGGAATATGACGCTCGGATCTCACATGCAGCAGAGGCCAAGAAACACAATCCCCACTTACGTGAGACGTGCCGGTTATGTGGGACTCCGGAAGGATGTATGCATTGTGCGTGTGTTGGTGAGGGAATGCATAGTGAGGTGGTCGTGTCTGCGGTTATTGTCCGCAGGTTTTTATGAAGGTCCATGCGGCGTGTGAATGTCCATGGGCAGTTGAAGCGGGTACGACGAGTGTGTGTCAGGGCACTGGTGTACCCATCAAAGTGCGATGAATTCGCAGGTGGCCGACCAGGCCGAAGTGCGGTCAAGGTGAGGACAAGTTTGGGCCGAGTCCACATCGCTGGAAGTGGGGGCTGTGAAAGTGTTAACAGGTGACGCCGTTAGGAGCGTTTCGACCGTTGGTGGGGGTGGTTGTGTTAGTCGTCGCGGTGATTGTTACAGAGGATGGAGGTGGCGGATGGACATGGGGATCCAAAGCAGCGGTGGCCGGGGTTGGCGCCGTCGTGGTTTGCGTGAGCGTTGGAACACGGACGTTCGTGGGGGCAGCAATTGCGGTTGGCGCATTGGATCCGAAGACGACCGACGTGGCCGATCCGCGCGCGAAATTTTCGTCAGCAGCGCGGACACGTTACGTAGGGTTGAGTAGTGATGTTGCGAATAGGAGGCGCCTAAGACTTGCGAGCAGCCCTTTTCGCTTTGGCACTGGCGATGCGGTCTGCTTCGTACATGACTGCGCCAGTTTTCACCTCCTCGACACCGGTCTGATCTGGGCGAGGTCCTCCCAGGTCTCTGGGTTGGTATGCAGGCGTATTTTCATATTCCTCCAACAGAACTATACGGCTTGCATCGTCCGCACGAATGCTACGAATTTTCTGAAAGTTTATGGGCAGAGAAGCTTTAGCACTCGCTAACGCAGGGCCTGAACTATACTGACTACCTCATTTGGCTCCACGCGCTTACTGACAAGTAGGGACTGTAATAGCTCGATTTCTTGGCGTATATGCAGTTGGTCTGCGCTGCGCTGAATCGGCCATTTTAATGTATCTTGATATGGTGCCAGCACATCGCCTAGTAAAGCCGGACTCAGTACCTGCTGTCACACCGTTGGGGATTGCCTGGACTTCTCCCCACTTATCTCTGTGGATTCTTTATTTAGCAGCCTAATCGGTTGCCTATTGATAGATGGCCCATTCAAGTTCTCTGCCTGCCCCTCAAAGAAAGACTGACGTTTTGCACATGGATGTTAAGTATTAACTATAGCTAAAATGACTTTTTCTTTCGGTGGGGGCAGTTTTACTGTCTCTCCGACTTATGCTTTCCGATCAGAGGGCCTATGTTCATTCACATTTTATCTGGCGGATCTTGTCAAACGTAGGGAAGCCGATTCGACGAATTGCCTGGGCTACCAAGTGTAACCTTATTTTGTGAGAAGACCGGGTGGCTCGAATCTCAAATACGTGCAAACGCAATAAAGACCACATCAAGAAGTCATGACAGCCTGACTTTTAGTTCTGAGAAGAACGGAGTTACCACGTCAATTGGCAGCCTTCCACGCTACAACTCGACACGTCAGTGGTTATAATAAGAGATGCACAGATTGGCCCTGAGGACGCAGTTCCCAATGCCCGACTTACCCCCCCCCCTTTCCGATGCACCAGTCAACTGTCCGAAAGGAGGTGGTGGGCTTTGAACGCAGTGGCAGAACAGTTCGTCTATGTGTACCACATACGATTTGGTCCGTACCTCACGTGCACCAGGCTATACCGAACGGCATGACCCCTACTTAAGTGAGATGTGCCCGTGATTAAGTCGGATTGGTTATGGTGAGGAATGCGCTGATGTGGCATAAGGATGGACTCCTGCGTGACGACCTCACTCCTTCACTTCGCGCGTCAATCGATTGTACGGCATTGTCAGTCAGCTGGCGAAGAGATTGTACACAGTGTTTGGCGGGGCTTAACAACCCAGAGTGAATGCGACCGAGTTTCCTGGCTTGAATTTCGTAGACTGGCTGTATCTATGCCCCATACAGGAGCATTGTCAGAATGGCGGCTCGAAGCATGTTCGGTTTCGTGTTAAGGTGAAGGCCGCGGCCGATCCAAACTGGGTGCTGCAGCCGTTCGAAGGCCGGGTTGATTTTTGAGATAAGACCCGTGATTTTTAAGTTGTTCTTCCCGGGTAAGGGAATTTATCCACAGATGCAAGGCGAATTCCATTCACGTTAATCCCAAGTATAGTGTGCCCAGCCGTTGGTGCTGGCTGATAAATAACCACAGTTTTTTCGTACTGGTGGTCAGTCCGAAGTTTGTGCACTCGTTGTGGTGTTAAACGCACAATCTAGCAGAAGATCATGATCATGAGAAGATCATGAAGGAGATCACGCCAGCAGAAAATCATGAGCAATGGTCTTGGGGACTCGATCAGTTGTCTGCATGTGTCAGATGTTGAGCAGCTGTCCATCGGTTCGGTAGGCGATGTTTATGCCTGATCCCTCCTCACGGTAAGCGTCTATCAGGAGGACGAAGAACATAAGCCCGAGGAGGGGGTGGGAGAGGGAGAACAAGTGCGCCATGCCTCACCCCATTAGGCATCGCAAATGTTTCCGAAACTGCCCTTTTGGCCGTGACGCGAGCCAACCTTTCGTCGTGAATTTGTCGCACTGTTTGTCTAAGGCGATCTGGACATCCGAAGTTAAGCATGGTCCCACAAAGCCCATCGCGGTTGAACGTATCAAAGGTGGTTTGGAGTCTCTTAATAATTTCTCAACAGTTAAGGGCAGTGACTATCATATCCTCAGTTCCGCGATTCATTCGAGACCCACGTTGACTTTCCGTTAAAAGTCTCTGTTCGAGGTGACAGTTTAGACAATTGGGAAGGATGTTGACAAAAATGTTACCATCAATGTTAGGGGGGGGGGGGAAGGATGGCTCTGTGTCTGTCACGGAGTTTCCGGTTCACCTTCCGTTCGAATATGGTGGTGTCCTTGACGTTCTGAGGGCTCTGTCCTTGTCTCCACATCTGGAACTGTGAAGCTCGCTTATCCATGAGCTGAGGTAGCCAGTGCCCAGTACTTTGTCACTAGCACTTGGCGTACAGCTTTGTTGGTGTCTTGTGACGAGGACGAACGATGGAGGTCTGCGTTTATATATGTTTGACTGGAAGAGTCCGCTGATGGTTCTTTGGGATGTTTTCGACAACCGAATGCGGATGTTGCGGATTTGCTCAGCCCAGCCCTCAATAATTTGTGGTTTCTTCGCCACCAGAACTGGGCATCTTTACTGTCTCCTTGACATTGGGGCCGGAGACCGCTTTCATTGGCTCAAAGGAGTTCTTCGTTTTAATTGCGGTTTGCGTGTCCTTGAATTCTTTCAGTCCTGCAAACTATCCAAGCGTTCTTACTGCCCTCAGTCGCTGCTACACCAGACTTTGGCGTTCGAAGAATGTCGCTTCACCGGCTTCAGTTCTGTGGCTGACGCAATACGCAGCCTACCCTTCAGGGCGAGCAGCCTATGGATTTCTTTGTCGTCCTCATTAACCTACTTCTGGTGCTGACGGAGTAAGCGGCGTAGGGTCCCCAGGGAAGGAGAGTGGATGGCGCCCGGCAGTTGGCTTCATTCCGTCTTAACAGCAGTGTTCGTCTCCGGAGCGTAACTTTGTTCCAGGCGGGTACTTAGGCGACTATTTAACTCTAATCGACAGTCAGGCCTGTCCACAAACATGGCATTTAAGTTACTTTATGTTCGTTTAAATCGCGTACGCCTAAAGGGTTGTATTTGTGGCCTAATCTTGAAAACGACAAAACGGTTGTCCGTCCAACAGTCTGCACCACACGCCACTCCTTTCTAACTGGCGTGATCCGTGCTGACTAGGGCAAGGAAAAACAATTTGGCTGCTTCGGCACGGCCGCCAGGAGGCTGTGCGGGTCTTTGTAGAATTTGTTCATCACTTCGTCGGAGCTGGTCATTGGGGAGAAGCATAAGCACCGAAGATGATAACAAGTTTGCTCCTACCGAGTGACAAGCGCAACGGACGCTGCGGTCGTCCCATGATGTCATTGTTGATGGCGAAGGTGACTCCAACACCTCGTCGTTCTGCCTTGGGGCATTTGCCCCAGAATTTCTATCCTGCAACTACCTCCGCCCGTTTCCATTCTTCTGAGAATTGGGTTTCGCCGAGAACCGCGAAGTCCGTCTTACAGCGCTACAATTATCGGACGACCAGGGCTGTCCTCATTCCTGGTCGGCTATTCAGCGGGCTGTCTAAAAGTGAGCAAAAATTCCAGGCTGCCGGAATTAGCAGTTTCTTTCTGGCAGTCTGTGGGAAAGCACGGAGATGCAGATGAGGGTAGTTGCCTCTTATGCTGTTTTACGTTCACTAGTAGCGATCAACTTTCCGACAGCTTGTATTATCAGAAATGTCTTAGGCACATTTTCAAGCGCCCCCTCACAACGAGGGGGTAAGCAGTTTTACCCCTACATAGGGCTACTGTTTCATACCGGGCAGCTACCCGAATTCCACTGTAGTTTACGACATGTATGTGGTGAGAAGACGACCCGAACTAGCTTGAATCGCCTACAGAACCGTTCTCGCTCACACTGTGGAACTTCTTGTTTTTTTCTGGGGAGGATAGGTGTAAGGACAGGACTGCCGGATGTGAAGACATCGGATACCGTCAGGCAAGTTAGTCCCTTGATCGTAAATTTTAATTTAAAAAAATTTGGTGGAACTACCTGGGTAACCTCACTTCCAAGACACAATTCTGGCGCGTGGTCTTTTATTTAGTTTCTCGTTAAATAAAATAAGCAAAAGCTCGCCTAGGAAGTTTTTAACGCTCGGCACATTTGCCTGTTGTTTTATGGTTCTATGTGGTGGTTTTAGAACCAGAGTGCACCACCGCCTCGTCTGTACGTATCACGTATGCTTTTTCATCACTTTTGTAAATTCCTCGTAGGAAACCTGCCCATTTCCATCCGAATCTGCTTCCAAAATCATCTCATCAATCTCTGCATCCGTCAGTCTGAGATGCAGGGTATGCAACACTTGTTTAAGCTCCGCTGTTGTAATTTCCCCGTCGTTGTTTTTATCAAAAAACTCGAACGCCATCTTGTAGTGTAGGTCGTCGCTTTTTCCTTCCTCCATCAAGGGTGTCATCATGGTAACAAATTCCCGAAAATCAATTCTACCATCATTGTTTGTATCAATTTTGCCAAATATTTCCCTGGCTTCTTCTGTCGTGCAGGCGCGACTGAACTGTTTCATCATCGTTTTCATCTCCGACAGCGAAATAAAACCATCGTGGTCGCGGTCGAAAAGAGCGAAAGCCTCGCGCAGTTCTTCCAGCTGCTCCTCGCGCAAAGTCGCACCAGCCATTCAAATCGCATATTGATCGAGCGAACGCCTAGAATACACGCGGTGTGTAATGCGCGAACCTGAGGCAAGAATAGTTCGTTTGACCACATTCTCAAGTGAAGACTAACCTTCATGCATAAGGACACTGTGGTGACTGACTAAAAAAACCATTGGAAATTTTGGCTGCCGGAATTTGTGAGAACGTGAACTTCAGGCATTAACTTCAAACAAACTCAGCCGGTCGGAACAAGGGATTTAGTCGGACCTGTATGGCTCACAAACGGGCTAGAACAAGATGTCGCAGGGAGGAAAGGTGAGAGAGTTGACCTCATTGACGATGCTAATGGTAGGGACGATGGCAGTGGGTGCGGTGGCAGTGTCGAAATGGCAGTAAGCCTGATCCGGGCTCCGAGCACGCGTCAACAGTGAGGATAGTGGCGACGGTTGAGCATTAATGGTGCTGGCATGCGACATAACATGCTCTCTTGCCTGTGTTTTCACTTTGCCCTAATCTATCTGGCTGGCTTCGAAGAAAGGTGCTGAGTTGTTTCCGAATTAGCTCATGTCTAACCATCCTGTACTAGCGCCTCCCAGGTCTCTTGGCTGGTTTGAAGATGACCGAGAGAAGTCAACAAAGCGTCCTTTCATCGGCACTTATCCTGCTTGTCAGCCGCTACACTTAGCCACATGCACATAGAAGAGGCATACGAGCAGGCGCAATTCGGTCATTCACACAGCGTGGCCGCTCCATCGTAGTCGAATTTGTTTCTGCACTGCTGCATAGATGTTCAGACTGGCGGTCAACTACTGTAGTTGGGTGGCTGGAATCGATTCTTGTGGCTTCACCTTAATACCCTTCGAGGACGCCCTGGCCTTGGTAGATTGTTCAGGTCTCCGCCCCTTAGCGCGAAAGCCCTTTTCATCCCGGCAGCTTAAACCCATAGACAATCATTAGCCTCCACGACCTTCATGCCCGGTCCCGAATAGGAAGAGGAGTTAGATGCCAGCCAGCAGCCGGACGTGTACCCATGTCCGGCGATCACAGAGGGGCGTCCCAAATGATACTGTAGCAGTCGTCACAGAGCGAGTGGAAGTCGTCCCGAGCGGGGGGGGGGGTCTGAGCCAGTCCGTTTGGATAGCTGTGCTTGGCCGAGGACCAAACCGCCATTGTTACGCGCACAATTATGCACGAGAGGTGCAGCGTTGCAACAGGCGTCTGGAGTAGGGTCACCCACCTCATTCCGTGTCGGGAAGGTCGTCGCGGTGATTCCAGACTGAGTATTGCAGCCTGCCGAAGGCCTGGCTGAGTTTGGAGATCCGGACTGCAACATCGTTTTCACACTTCATAACTCGTGATACGATGATTCCCAGGCATAAATATTAGTCCACCGCCGCGATGCGGTTGTCATGGTGGGTTAGCGTGAGCAGCGTATCGGACTGCTGACGTGGGTGGGTCCATGATACGGCGGTAATGAGAACTCCGAGGTTTCTCGTCGCGGCATAGAAATGCCGACTTGGCTTTGTTTGCCCGGATTCCGCGCGATCTTATTGTGTCTGCGGGCGTTTCTTATTTCCTCTCGAGTCTTTCATGAGATACAGTATGCGATGAAGGTAGCGGACACACAGGGATTGAAGCATATATAGAATGCGGTTGCTACGCGATCGCGCATCTGCCAGCATTAGCAACGTTCCGCACACATCTTAGATGTCCGTACTTGGTGTATTAATGGCTTGCTTGCCAACTTTCGTGTCCACACCTCAGATGCGTCACGAGTCAGCACGATTCAGCAATGTTGTTTCCCTTGACATAGTGCGTATAAGCGCGATGACAGAGGACTCTTGCGCAACTGCGTCTGTGGCTTACTGATGTTGTTGAAATTCAGAACCTTTGTTGGATTTGCCTCCCTCCTGCTTTCCTGTCTCACACGCAAGTCACCATTATGACTTATCGATAATGGTGTCGATTCCTACCGTTCAGAACATGCGACTTATCTACTGGTACAGTGCTATGAAGCACAGTGTCTCATCAAGTAGTGCAGCTAGTAGCTACCGTATCTAGCTGTATATTGGTTTTATTACCTTGGACAGAGCTGCCTTAGCCACCTTGGCTGACTGGCCATGTTATCTAAACGATGTAGTAGCTCCTCTGTCTCGTGCAGTAAACTTTCTACTGTCCCGGATGTGCGCGGTGAGGACTACTGCGTGAATCTGTTTGTGCCGAAGCAGTCTTGCACCTCATCTACCCAAATTGCTCCTACCACACCCACCGCGTTCCACTGGCAAGGCAAGGGCAAGACGGCCAGGCATGAACCTAAACGCAGTCACTGGCAAAATTAAACTACCCATCTGCACGTGCCACACACAGGCCATTTCTGCCTGGCCCTCAGTTACAAGTAGGGTCGGTCCGTATCGTCAGTTGGCAGTCCTCCGAGGCGCGATCGCCAGGTCCTAATCGCGCTTGTTCGCTTACCGGGAGAAAACAAGACAGCAGCTGCGAGCTGTGTATTTACTGTATTCTGTGCCCTTTCCCGTCTCTCACGATTCAGTCTGAGTTAGACATTAGAAACTAAATTAGCCCTCTGTCTGACAGAATGTGAAGCCACCGTCTAACACGAGGTTGGTTAGTTGTGGTCACATTTCGGTCGGCCTGAATCTGCCCGTTTAGGTCAGTCTAGATCCTGGTCGTCAGGCGATAGTTCAGACAGGCTGACAGGAGTTCAGCGATAATTAACGCCGTCGTGAAAACATGGTGTTTCCTGTTGGAGGTAGGTCGAGCGTGGCACGCGCAGGCGGACTGTTTAGCTTTGTCAGCCATTTGCACCCAAACTCAATACCCGGTGGTTGACCGGCGGAACAGACAGTGAGGTCGACTCTGGGGCTACCTTTCCACGGCAATTCAGCGTACGCAAATCTATAATAGGTCTGACGCGCTCGAATCTGTCACGACGCACGAAGGTGGTTTCGAAGTTCACCAACGGACGACTCAACTCAAGTCCCTCAGTCAGCCCAGTATGTGTGTATGTGGAGTGACTGACAGGTGAGGTGAAATTCAGGCTCAGCTCAATGACTTTTTCTTAGTTTGGTCTCTGTGGTGCTATTTAATGCATGTGGGATCCGAGCCGCCTACCAATTTGTACGAAAACGTGGTGTGCTGGAGGGGGGGGGGGAAGGGGGCGGTGGGCAGTCGTCTCCAACACGCGCAGACGGGCTATCTCTCTCAGTCATTATGCCCAGTCCTCACATCAGATGAATAACCGACTCCGATAGAGGAGAGGGTTAGGTTGACTTTGAGGACTGCACCTCAGTGCATATTTCCCACTATAAACAATCTGACGCCCGTTTCAACTACCACGGTGCGCTAAAAACCGCAGCCAGGAAGGCTGCCAACTGAAGGGGCAACTCGATCCTCTTCTCATAACGCAGAGTCAGGTTGCAGTGGCTCCTTCTTACTGTGACTTCTATGGCACTCCCCCTCAGTTAGGATTCCAGCCCCCCCCCCCCACCCCCATTGCTGCTTTGATGAAATTCCGGTCCTCTGTGCGCGGATTAGGCGTTTGTGGCACGCCTAGATGGGCTGTTTAACTTCGTCAGCAGCTGTTCTCGATCCCGCCTTCGGTTTTCCTGACTCTGCCTAGACACAGGGCACAGGTGGTTGAGGGAAGAGAGGGTGGGACAGACGCATCACAAGTCCAATCCCATTATAAACTAATTCAAGCGCAAGTCACCGTCGCTACGCCTACCATGATGTGGGACACACCGTGGACATTGTCGTTCACTGCGGTCGAACTGTCATGTGACTGATATTGGCTTGAAGTTTATGCCGAGGCTTAACCGATCCTCTTAGTAAATCCGGCACTGCATTACCCTGTTTGTCACCGCAGAGGCCTCTTATGATGGTCTTTTGTCTACTACACGTCCCATCATGCCACCGTAAAGTTCCCCTACCATCATTATTAATCTTCCGGGCATCCATCTTTCTTTTGTTATTGAGTGGGGATATTCTAGGTGATTGAAACAGATTTGCCAGTCCTCTGCGTTTTTTCTGCATATTTGGACCCTTGTAGGGCTTTTCCTTATCACCACACCCGCTGGAGCACTGAGATAGGTTTGTCCGCGAGTTGAGGGCGCGTATTAAGTCACCGCACGGAAATCTTTCTCTACACGTCTGTTGCACTACTCTGAACGTTCCATTCAAAGTGGGCGGACAAGCGAGTTCAACCTGCGTCTCCACGTGAAGACGTCTCCTGATAACTTTCCCAAAGCCTGTAGGTGGGCGGCTGAGGACGTCCCTGAAGGGCTCGACCCTGCGTTCCAGAATTTGTGATTTCTTTAACAGTACGACTGTTCCATCTGAACTGAGTTGCGGCACAAGTCCAACGGGTTGGAGGTCGCAGACTGCATTGATAGACTCATAGTTCTTTATGCTATCACTGGAATAGTAACTGCATCAGCCTGAGCCTTCAGACTCATATAGTAGCTCATAAGCAGAAGCTATGAGATTGCAACACCAAAAAAGATTAAACAGTTTTATAGTCAAACAATGGAGGAATGGAGAAGGTGGAGGTTTTATCCGTGGCTAGGACGGATTCACGCCGTCTAACTCACAGTAATATCACGGCGTGACGGCGGGATCCTCCTTGACTGGAGACTGGGCAGCGTAGGCAGAAGGCGGGAAAGCATGGTGTCATATCAGCATATCTATTTATGGAGTTGTTGTCTTTCGATTTTAAATTCTCGACCTCCGAGGGATTTGCCTTTTTCGGGATTTTTGTCTACCGGACGCTCTGAGAGCCCAGTTGGATTAAAAGATTGATTCATAATCATCAATACCTCGGTCCTCGCGGAACTTCAACGGGACTTTCGTTGGGAAAACCATTCTCGTTTGGTTCACTTCTCTGCCTTCAGCACCGCGGGTCCCCACCAAATCCAAGAACGACTGATTCATTTGCAATTTACTTCATATCCTTGGTCTGGTTAAATAAATCCTCTCACACCTTTAAAAACTTCTCCTGTTTATTTAC